AAAACAACCAATCAGAGCCGAGATTGAAAGATGCTTTGGGTTGGTGGCTTGAAGATAGCTGATTGAGAAACATCTGTATTTGACAACCTGAGAATGAGAAACAATCAACTATCTTACTTGGCTCTGATTGTTTTCATTTAGGCCTGGTGGATTCTTGTAAATAAAACCAATCCTTTGGTTCTATTAAGTATAATACATCGGACTTTTTTAAATGTTGGTCAGATAAATTGTATAATAATAATAATAATTATAATTATTATTATTACTATTATTATGATTATTATTACCACTATTATGCACTTTGTAGATTCATCAATTCAAATAATAAATGGATTATTTAATGATGATAATAACTAGATGTTGGGTCAGGTAACATATGGAAACAGGTACCTATACAGTATGTGCCGCTGTAGGACATGTTTGTGTGACAGGCAGTGTGTGGGTGAGACTCACTGGTGACCTCCTGCAGGAAGTCCAGACAGGGCCGGCTGATCCCAGACATGCTAACAGATACAGCTACCGGTGTCTGGCCCTCGTAGTTTCTGGTGTTGGTATCGGCCCCGTACGTGTAGAGCATTTGAGCGCACAGCACGTCGTCCCTGAGGGCCGACAGGTGAAGAGGAGTCTGGCCGTCTTCAAGACGTCCAAGATTAGTGTCCGCTCCTCTCTGCAGGAACATGCGGCAGTATGAGTGGTTGCCTTTGATGACAGCATATCGAAGTAGGAAGCCATTCTGAATGTCAATGTTGGCGCTGTGGTCCAGGAGGATCCGTACACAACTGGAGCGCTCACGGATGATGGCCAGCTGTAGCGGTGTGGTCCCTTTGTCACTCAGTGGATCCACCTCGGCCCTGAACTCGAGGAGGAGGCGCACAAACGAGTCTCGGCCGTAGTGGGCGGCCACGTGCAGCGGCGTCCAGCCGTCGTTGCTTTTTGCATTTATAATGTCACTGCGGAACTCGGATTCCAGCATCAGTCGGGCGATGCGCGCTCTGCCGTGCATAGCAGCATAGTGAAGTGCTGTGAAGCCACCGATAAAGTCCTTCACTGTGGGGTCGGCTGCACAGGGGAGAGAGGAAATGAGAGTCAGCTACAGCAGGAGTTGTGCCTTGACACAACTATGGTTAACTAAATTAAACTAAAAACTAAAACCTTTTAGTTAACTCAAATAAAAATCTAAACTAGACTGAATCTATCTGAAACAATATTATGTACTTACAAAACTAAAATAAAAAATATGTAGGACTGTCTTTAGTTTTAGTCTTTGTAAATTTGAGGAGGCACTGGTGCATGTTTATTAAGACTACATGATTATGAGTGTTTATATTGTAATACCTATTCTGAACCTGACAGATCCCATATAACAATAAAAACAAACTAAAACTGAAACTAATAAAATCTCAACTGAGAGTAAACAATCAAAGCTAAACTGAAACCAGCAAACCCACAGTGACTAAAATAAATTGAAAACAAAAATTAAAATACAAAAGTATACTAACTTGAGGCAGTGGGTGAACAATCTGTGATCAGCAGGGGCTCTACAGTCCATCTAAACTCTAACCTACCACAAAGAACCTCTTTACCACTGCACAGTAATAGTTCTAGCCCACAGCGCCCTCTAGCTATCACACTTTAGCTTTGCTACTACACTTCAGGACTGACAAACACATCTCACCTCAGTGGAGAACCTTTAAACTTCCTTCAGCTGTTCATAGCAGTTTCAAATGGCCATGTTTTACATGACTTTAGAACAACAGTTATACACACTAGTATTAACACTCATTTCTCCATCATTTTTCTTTTAAGGGATATCTTATTGAAGAGGAACAGTTTATCTAGCTAACAGCTGGAGAATGTTCCAGAAAACTGGACCCAGATTTACAACCATAACAGTTTTTTACTCTACTTTATTGACTTGTCTGCATATGGTCTCATTGAGGCTTTATACAGGTTGTATACATATGTTTTGTTGTGTGTGGACCCCAGGAAGTGTAGCTGTTACCTTAGCGGCAACTAATAAGGATTGACGAATAAAGAATAACAAATTAGACTATATTATGTCAGTGTTGTGATTGCAGCCAAAGTATAAATAATTCAGCTTTTCCTATTACAGGAGAAATATTTCTATGCAGGGGGTGTTTAAGCCAGGACTCAATACTGAACAACAAAGATTTGGGATACATGGTGGCTCCATTGTTGGTATTTTGGAGCTCAGCTGCTCCAAACCGTTATCAGGTATGCTGTATCTGTCCCCTTCACATATGTTAATAGTTGGATTTGTTGTTGTGTAGCTTAAGGCTGCTTGAATTATTTTCATGGTGTTCTTGATGATACTGTCATGATTTGGTATTTTAATGTTTTGTGTACAGTATCATGCGTATATATCTACATATATAGATTTTAAAAAGGCTATTATAGATCACATTTTCTGCAGATGTAAGGCATTTGTAAGTGTTTTAAGTAATATTTGTTTGACTGTAAGTAGATATAACGGGTCTACGGTTTGTGTTTTGTTATAACTTGAATGAGTTCAACTAAGACAAAGGTGAACGAGAGGCTGTCTCTACCAGTAAAACAGTGCCCTCTAGTGTTTGGACAGTTAAACCTGTCATGGCATAATGCTATCCAGCAAATGGGGCCAATTTCTGCAGCCAGAAAAAAACCCCAAAACAAAGGCTCTGACCTCCGTGCTCCAGAAAGACTCGAACACATCTCTCTTTTCCTTTGGCAGCGGAGAAGTGGAGCAGGGTCCAGCCGTTGGCATCGCGGATCTTGGGTGAGTATCCTTGCTCCAGCATTCTCCTGACAGTGCAGACATCCCCTGCTGCCACTGCAGCCTGGATCTGCAGCTCCTCATGAAGCTCAGGGTTCCTTCTGCAGTGATGGTTCAGCATCCTGTCACATTTCAGAAAGGAAACATTAATCTGTACCCAACTTCTGCTTGGAAACATTGGTGAATACATTCTGTTTGTAAGTTTCTGACTCACCTGCCAAGCGTTGGTGACCTGCCGATTATGCTATTAAAATGTTCTACCATCCAAAACAATTTACAGTACATGTTTTCCATACTGTATAATGTTGATTGAACATTGTCTAAAGCACACCTGGTAGACAGGTGCAAAAGGCGGCAGGGGAGTCCCACACAGCACTAAGTTTACTGAAAAGCTGTGATTTGATAATAGACACAATATGAAATAACATCTTTATACATAAGCTACAGGCTGCGACAATCAATCATAAAAAAGGAGAAAAATTCCAATTACAACCTCACTGGTACTACAGTACAGGGTTCCCACTCTTTTTAAGCAATCATTTTCCAGGATACTTTCCAGGAGTTTTTCTTGACAATTCAGGAGAGCACTTGCTCACAAACAGTTATATCATTTTTCGGTAGGTCTAGCATTGACTTTAACTCCAGATTTATGCTTCCTTTTTTGACAATGAAGTGTCTCAGACTCATTACAATGGCGAAACGTCTGTTTCACTCCACATCTGGTGTGAATGGTCAGATTGACTAACATGAAATGAGATGGGAGCGTTTCAAATGTTTTTACGTTCCACTTCACGTCTGGTTAACCCACTTCGAAGTGGGTCAGCTACTAACTAACTAACTTATAAGCAATCGGAGTGAGGGGCTAAAATAACATTTTTCCAGGACAACACAGATTATTCCCAGGATATTTGGTAATTTTAATCAATTCCCAGGTGTTTCCATGACTGGAAAACTAGTCTGTAAATTTCCACATTAGATTTCAGGACACTTGGGAGGCCTGACATACTGATACCTATAAAAACATTTGAGTTGAAAAAAAAAGTTTTAAGGAAACACATTGGGTCTTAAAGAATTGTGACTAAAGATTACCTGGGTCTAAAGATGGGTATTGGGGCAGATTCCAGGCATATTCTAATGGATTGGTATTGGCTAAATAATTCCTTTCTTTACTGTGATCTATTGTATTTTACCCACCTAAGCCTACTAGTGTCACTAGTACAGTAAAAGCAGTGAACAAAACTACAGCTGCTTATTTGAAGCCAACTGCAGGTCATATCAGATGTCACTAAACTAAAAAAATGTTAATGTTAATTAATGAAAAATGTCTGTTTTGCGGTTAAAGTGCTCTCTGCAAGCCTGTGTCTGTGCTCTGCCACAGATCATTTGTTAGCAAGGAAGCTCCACTCAGTAACACAACTGTATAATCAGAGAAGATTGATACTGATACTGATATGTCTGTGGTAAGCTAATATTGGCCAATGCATTGGCTTAGCTGAATAAAGGACCATTCTGCACTACTGTAGAAACATGGTGGTTCAACATGGCGGCTGTAGATAAAAACAGCTCATTCTAAGGTAATGAAAACACAATTCCTATATTCAGGTGATTATACACTAATGAAAACATACCTATGAATATTACACACCGGACCTTTAACACAGTCAATAACTGATAAAATATAAAATAACAAGCAATGTAAAAACGACTATACACCACAAGTCAAACAAAATAAGCAATATTTATCACCAAAAGGAATTTGTTGCTATGTTGCTTAGTGTCCGTTAGCTCAGCTGTGTGTGTGATTCTCCAGTGCAGCCAACAATACCACTACCAGCTGAAACACGTTTTAGAAATACAGATCAATCGTCAGTTTGTTGTCTGTAGTGACGATGCACTTCTGAGTATTACAATAAATGTATTAATCCATCACTTTAATTCAAACATAAATCATATCATGCGCTACAATAATACTTACCAGTATTCGGTGTAAGTAACCCATTATTGTAATCGCATTACAATTCACTGTAACACAGTAATGTAACACATTACTGTTCTTAATTCAGTAATCACATTAAAATTACTAATCCAACAATTATATTGTTACTTGCACTACAAAATTATCTTGATGATGGGCTTGACTTTTCGTGCAATTCTGAGGATATGGCTTCCTTAAAACTCTGACACTGAAGTTATTGAATATTTGAAGTTGGGGTCAGAGATGGAGTTCCTGAACTGTTTCCCTACAATATCTATGAAAGTCAACACACTGACCCTGTCTGGAGCTCCTGTGGACAGGCTCTTCAGCCTGGGTAGTGTTGTGCTGACTCCGAGGAGGAACAGGTTGTCTGAGAGACTCCTCCACCACTGCTTTAATGATAAACAAGTCAAATAAGCTGCACTAATCTATTATAAAGCCACAGTTTGGGGCGTTTAATACAGTTCATATTACGTGACAATGCATCTCAGAAGTAATGTAACAAGTAGTATACTTTCTACACTAATTCTGATTCTGATTAAGTAACGCATTTTTAAAAAAAAGTAACATGTAAAGTGTAATACTTTCTTTGAGAAACCACAGTCACCAAACACCAGTCCTTACAACCTACTGCAGTTTCAACAGTCTGGTTAAATATATTAGCTGGGCAATTAGTATAGTTTTTAGGGGTTTAGTATAGTTTTTTCCCCTGTGACTTATAGCCACCATTAGGTGAACAGTCATGGCACCTGCATATTGACCTCATGTCTGCAGATTCTTGTGCTGCTTCATTAGTTCATTCAGGGTTTTTATGACTGGACCTTTTTGTTTTGTTAGATAAATCTGTCCCCATAATGAATGCTCATAATGAAGAGGTGTGCAGCAGGTGTAGGTTAAACCTCCAATTCAGTGATCCCTAGTGGCATTAAGGTGACTTGTACAGGACACTGCAGCCCAAATTATTTTTGCTTATGGCATTGCACAGCGGCGAGGGTACATGAGGGACATTTTGTCAAGTGCCCATGTCCACAAAGGTCCGACTGTTGAGTGCAGACCATTTGCAAGCTGCCAAAATGTATGACCGTGTGGACCTTACTCCCTGACAAATATGTGTGAACATATATGCGGACACCCAGTGCAGTGCAAACAGGACCGCAGTCTGGGCACATTGTAGAGTATATGCAGCTCCTAAATCTTAGGTGAAGTTTAAATCTAGTCTTATTAGTTGACAACTATTCTTCTCAGAATATTTAATTAATTACCAACTAATTTAACCATCGATTAATATTTTTTAAAGAAAAACTGTCCAAATTCTCTGATTTCAGCTTCTCAAATGTGAATATTTTTTATTTTAGTGCTCTATGACAGTAAACGGAATATCTTTGGGTTGAGGACAAAACAAGACATTTTATGGACCAAACAATTTTCGACTAGTCAAGAAAATGATTGCCAGATTAATTAATATTAACAAAACGTAAATGTAACAATGGAATATCAGAGACCACATAATTCTGTTCCAGAGAACACAGGTTGACTTAAACCACAGCTAAACTACTGACAGCTAGAGGAACAGCCATAATTACTTGTTTTCTTAAAATATTTGAACTTCTCTTGCTGACCAGTTTCAAATAAAAGTACAGTATGATTTTACCTTTTGACAAGCTGAAGAGAAGTGCTTCTCTTAGTCATATCGGAGCTGCACCTGTAAATATACAGCTGCACTGTCAGGAAGGCACTCTGTCTTCAATAGTTTCTCCTGCAACAAAAACACCGTCATTTATCATTAGTAAAAACTGTGTACAGGAGTGGCCCCAGACAACATCTTTGAGGCACTCAGTTTTTCACTTCTTTGACATCTGAACTTCTATTTAAGTACATCATTTGCCTTCTGTGACTGAGAAAAACCATCACATTTTTCAACATCAACTCATGAGCTGAGATATCAAAAGCAGCAGGAAAATCAAGCAAAACTACTCCTTCAATTTTTCTCTCCAGAAGAAATCATTAGCATTAATTTAACTTTAGCAACACTAACTTGGTTGAATTCCAAATACATTCTTTACCTTAATAAAAAGTATTTAAAATGTGTACAGTTTTTACTGATTAAGTAAAAATGAGAGCCTTCATTTTTCCGACATTTATAAAGTATTTAAAATGTCTATTATTTCACTGATGGAAAATAACGACCTGTTACAGTAACTCTGCTTAAATGCTTTTACCTGTTTTAAGGTGTGCTAGAAAGCTTAAAAAATACACACAGTAGGTCTATATCTCAGCATTTGGTTCACTTCTGTATAGATAAGAAAATGTACAGTAAATTGTCTAATAGAACAATAGCCAAATGCCAGTGACAAGAAAGCACTGAATTTGTCAAAAAAGAAGCCTATTAAGTCTGTATGACTGTTAAAAAAACACATAATGCAGACAGAGAACTGAATGTGGTCTACCCAACTAACCTCCCACGGATGTGTCCATGTTATGGATATATTACAACCACTACTCTAATGAATGACAGGAATGTCAAATGAGAGGAATGTTGCAAATGCACAACTCGCTAATATAGAAACAGCTCAGGTTTAAAACCAGGCTTACTGTTGAAGCCCAATAAGACAGAAACTCTGCAGTATATCCGGTCGTCCCATTGAACACTTTCAACGTTTAGTTGGTTAGCTTAACTAACCGGCTGATGAAAAAACAATGGACAATAGAATGGCTTTATTTGCTAACATAAACCACAATGCAAACCACGCACAGGTAAACAATGATAAGGATATATAACAAAACACTGCGGGGGGAAACGGTAAAGGGAACAGGGTTCGCACACACAGAAAATGTAACGAATACGACTGTTTGACCAAACCTCTCTTGATTTAAGGCTATATTTATCCCCGGCTGTTAGCTAGCGCTGGTTAGCCAGCAAGCTAACAAACTCAGTAGCGATAGCTCGCTAGCTTGTGTTGACTTTTTGTACTTCAGAGTTGGGAAGCGTTACATAGAAACCCCAGTACGCTGAATGCATCGATATTAAAGTTGATTCTATGTATTTCATGACAAACACAGCAGCTTTGATACTATAAAACAAAGACTTACTGACAGACACTGAGCCGACGTTCAACTTAGCCAATCAGCTTCCAGACGGGAAGGGCTGGAGTTGTCAAAGCTGCATATTTCTGTCTCTTTCCACTCAAATCCAACACTAAACTGCTTTACCGTCTCTTAAAAGTTCCTAAAATGACAGTCTGTTGAGCATCATTTCGGTGTTGATCAATCAGCTTTAACAACAAAGTCTCTCTGTGAGCAGTTTGACCCCAACAGGAAAAACAATAAAGCTTCCGCCTGCAGTCCTTCAAAATAAAAGCGTAATTTCCTCTCATCTAAACCGACAACATGAGCGCATTATTTGCAAATCTGAAAAACAAAGCAAAACAAAAAACTATAGACTTCTGCTGATGAAGTCCTTTAGGTGCACGTTATATTTTTGTATTTTTTGTTAAAGATGACATTTTATATTATACATTGCCTATGGAAACTCAACAGGATTCAAAACAGAGAACTATGATTCAGTAGACCAATTAATTAGTTAACCCTATTATTTGAGAACAAATTACATAACAGTGGAGAACCAAACAATCATTAACATACTAAATAAGAATACAAATAGGCGGTAATGAAAATCAACACGGGGTGTCGCGATATACCGACATTGACAATAAAGAAATTATTATAATTAATGTTGTAATCGTGTTAATAGTACACATAATGCACCTCATCGCTTTTTGCCAGTGTTACAGTTGATTCATTTCCCAAATAACAATAAAAAGTTAAAGATGAATTTGAGTGATAGTATTTCTTTCACATTTTCTAAAGATATCCCAATAATATCAATATCATTATATCTTTTGGCCATAATAATCGTGTAGTGACAATCTGGTATTGTGAGAGCCCTATTTGGGAGTATACAACATATTCTGGTAAAGGATTTAGATAATGTACAACTAAGAAAGTAGCACAGTTCAGATTAGGTGACATACAATCCAGTCCATCGGTTATTACTGTAATTTTCCTATGGATATTTAAAGAACACAATATAAAGACACAAGTATTACAAAGAGAAGAAAGCGATGAGAGAGAAATAATGATAATAATAATAATTGGTTACTTAGTTCAAGAACATATTAAGTAGAATTATTATGCCTTTAGAGTATGTTCAACCAATCAAAGTAGTGATTTGTTCAGATTCAGCTTCTACAATCAAAATTTTTAAATGAACACAAATGTTAAGAGATTATATTTTGATTATTGATGATTATTATGTCTGTTGAATACCGGTGCAAATGGGAGTGGCTGTTATATTGAAAAAATGTTGTCACACTTAGTAAAATACAGTACTGCATCAAAGAATGATGAAAACCTGGAGATATGGGATAAAGACAACTAAGGTAGGGTTTGCTATAGAATATATAAAATCCCCTTTAAAGTGAGGTGTAGAGGCAGGTGTCAGGAACAAGGTGATCTTTAAAAGACTAGAATATTGAGGACACGATTTAAAGTTCTTCTTCTCCAGTCCAGATTTTTTTTAAAGGTGCTTAATCAGAAAACCAAACACATTTGTTCCTCTCCACACTATCTTCAAACTCTAAAATACTTTTTTCCGCTTGCCCTATTTTTGTAACTGTGTAATTATTTGCCATCTCTTTTCTGTATATGTAATGCATTCTATGTTTCTGACCTGTTGGATGTTTTACTAAAATTAAAAGTGCACTGTTATTGTTGCTGCATACAATTCTTCAGTTTGCATATACATAGATAGAGAATAAGTAAGGAGAACAACCTAGACATATATATATATATAAAAAGCAATATAAAATGCAATATAAAAAATGTATAAAATGTATAAATAAGCTGTATAATTGTAGTGCAAGTAAAAATATAGTTACATGCTCTTTCCTGTGCGTTCTCCTACTTCCTATAACCATATCTACTTTTGTTTAGTCATCCTAATACTATTGCCACTCTTGATTTATTTCCATCTCTACTATGCTTTACCGCTCTTACTTTTTCTTAAATGTCAGATGTCTCCCTCAGAAATATAAAAGAAAAAGAAAAACAGGCCATTAACCTGTTATATGGTATTATTTTTATTTATTTGAATTATTATTTTACAAATTTTAAGCCTTTAAGCCTATTTAGTCTTTGTATAGTAAACAATATTTTATTATGTTGTTCCTCCTGTTGAATGTAGTCTACTGTTTAAAAAATGCACAACAAATTAAGACTTCCGGTTGCAGCCATAAATTCCTATTGAGTAATGCTTATATCAAAATAAAAGCCTTACTGATAAAGAAAAATTCCACATTTCCTCGTCCTTCTACCTTTTATGAACATTAAAAACGCCAAAAAGTGAAAATAAAGTTGCTCGTTAAGCAAAACTTGCATATATAAGATTCTATAAGAAGCCAATATTAAACATATAGCCTATAGAGAAAGAGATAGGCTATGAGGGCTCTCTCACACACACAGAGCTGCTGCTAATGTGTGCCTAAAAACAGCTCCTGGGAAAGTTGAGCCCATACGTTTACTGTCTCGATTCAAGTCCTTATAGGTCGATATATTAATTAATTGGAATTATTTTGAAGGCTCATGTGGCATGCATCCGGTCTCATTTTGTCGACTTGACTTGTTGACCTAATTGGTGTAGCGCTGCTTCCGCGTGTGTCACGTGACAGCGGTACCCGGAAGAGCCGGCGGCAGCAGCATGGAGCGCGCAGCCGGCTACAGGCAGCGCTTCGACTGTCTGACAGATGCGTACAGATGTTTAGTGACGGGCTCCTGTCCCAGCGGAGGTGCTGCGGACGTGGCGGGTGTGATATTCTCCGGGGTGTGTGCGCAGGTCCCCGGTGAGGAGGACAGAGGTGGTGCTCCTGCAGCGCGCTGCCGTGAGCTGAGCTGCATCAGTGTGAGTCTGCTGGAGAGGATCAGCTGCAGCCTGGCGGACCGGAGCCTGCCTCCAGCCGTGGAGCTGTACTGCGTGGAGGTCCTGAGGGGGCTGTTTCAGGACATGGATCTCATGTCGAAGCTCGTGAGTGCCCCTTTCAAAAGAAACAGTTACTGATTGATTTTCTACAGTGCAGTATATCTAAGGCGCCCACTGTTCCACAGGTCCATCAGTTCCAGTCTGAGGACCAGATCGTCTCACATCTGGCTGCCAAGAGTGTGTCAGCATGGGTTTTCTATCAGCTCCTCAAATCTGTGAGTTCTCAGAGCTGTACTCACAGAACCCACATTGCAACATAACTGAACAGAGGTGGTCCAGATCTCAGCCAGCTTTATGGCCATAGCTGGCCCTATTCTGGCCCAATGTTAGACCAGTTTCACACTCGTTTTTGTTTGCTCATTATTAATACTATTATTATATCAACCATTAAAGTAATGTAAGTGGGTCACTGGGCCAGACCAATTTCGCTATGTATTCAAACTCATGAACCCTACGAAAAACTACAGTCTCGTATCAGCTCCTTTCTACGTATGAGCTCTGTGCACACCATAACTTTACAATCAGGCTGTTCGCTCTTTATTCTCATTAAAGTGACTGACACAGTGTCGATGAGCGCAGTTTGAGCGAGTTTGGCCTAAAGCTGCCCTAGACATAGACAAAAAAGGTCAAAAGGTAAGGTGATTCAGAAGGAGAGGTGGCAGAAAAAATTTAATTGAGCTGTTTATCAGTGATTAGCAGTGATAATTGGACCAATACTAGCTTCGTATAGCAGCACACTAACTTGTTGTATCATGTTAACAATACACGTGTTTATTATACACTTTGATTTTTCAGGGTGCTTTAAGTCCTGTCTGGGAGCAGAAGTGTGTGCAGGCATTTCACAGCTCACCCCCTGGTACTGAGTTGGATGCCTGTCTGTGGTCGCTGACGGAGGTCTTAAAAAGACTTCTTAAAGGAGCTCATCAAGGTAAAACCCCGCTGCTTTGTGCATTCACAAGCTTTTTGGTCACATGTTCATCAGCCAGCAGAAGCTCAGATATCCTGTTTCCCTGATTTTTAAAATTGATCATTTTTACAGCAGCCATTTTGACATTAAATAATAGGGTAATTACAGGTGTTCTAATTAAGGTTCTGTTCCATTTAGTGTATCAGAGCCTTTCCAATGAGCCAGCACACACAATAGCAGCACCCTGACTGTGTTTGACCTTAATGGAACCTTAATTAGAATCATTGGAACACCTGTGTTTACCCTACTATTGTCAAATGTGTCAAAGTGGCAGCTATTTTAAGGCTAATACCAATAGCAATATTTGAGAGTAACTATAGTGGTGTATCAGCCAATATTTATTCTTTTACATTAACACATAACATAAACACTTTGACAAAGATCCCCTAAGATATTTAGTTTACAGAAAAAATCAGCACATTAAATTATCTAAAAGATGAATCAACTTTTCAAATTGTAGCACACAAAATTGCTAGCTAAGACCAACATGAAAGCCAGATCAGAGCCACTCAGGTTGCTTGTAACGTGATCCTTGTTGTGTCTGATTTGAATGCGTGTGTTTTCTTCCATCAGAGATTATTGGGAAGCTTCTGGCAGCGTTTGACTCCAGCCTCACTGCTTTATGTAAGTTTCTCCCTGAGGAGGGAGAGGAGATGGCACAGTGTTTGGTGGACTTTACCAGGAGCAGACACTCAGGAACAACATTCTGCCTCCTGCTGGACCTGCTGGAGGTGCTCACCGCATCCAGCTTGTTATGTGGAGCTGGCGTCTGTCTGAAGAGTCAGAGAATGACCCACATCCACTCCTCAGCCCTCCTTACAGCAATCAGCTCCTCCTCAGAGTATTATGTCAAAAAGCGAGCGCTGCTGCTCCTAAAGAGAGCCGTGCTGCAGAAAGCTGGAGAGGACTGGGCTTTAGGCGAAGTGCCGCTCACCGGGCCGAAGTACGAGCACTTCCACTTTGATATGAGCATGCTGGCTCAGAGCGTGTTGACTGCAGTGGCTGCTAATTGGTTACAGAGCGTTCAAGTGGAGTCCACCTCTTTCTTCGGAGGGACCAGACGCGGTCAAGGTGACGAAGGTCAGAAACCAGACTGTGTGATGCTTAGAGCTGTCAGCCTGCTTCTTCTCAAGTCCATAGAGCTTCACATCCAGACAGCTGGCGGAACAGGTGAGAACCCATGATAGAAATCACAACATCAGTATACATACATTATAACATACAGGTGATGGTGTATGTCTATGGTGTGTAATTCTGGACAGTTTGAAAGCGTTGATTTAAACTAATGTAAAGTGTCAAGATGTTTGGATTAAAGGACCAGTGTGTAGGATTTAGTGGCATTTAGTTCTGAAGTTACAGATTCCCACCAACTGAATACCGCTCACATTGCAAGTATGTAGGAAAAACGACAGTGGCCACAAAACTCCTGAAAAACCCAAAAGGCCTATGCAAAGTTAGTGTTGGATTTGTCCATTCTGGGCTACTGTAGGAAACATTGGTGGTTCAACATGGGCAGAACTTCTGTAGAAGAGGACCCACTTCCCTCTTGGAGATAAAAACGTCTCATTTCTAAGTAACAAAAACATGATGATTGGATGATTCTAATAATCAGGTGATTATACACTTAATGAAACATACCCTATTGAATATTATATCCCATTTCTGACAATAGATCCTACTGAATGTTACACACTGGACCTTTAACACAGTCAATAATTGATAAAACATAAAATAACGAGCAATGAAAATTGACTGTACACAACAAGCAAAACAAAATGAGTAATATTTATTACCAAAAGGGAGTTGTTGATATGTTGCTTAGCATCCGTTAGCTTGGGGTCAGCGCAACAACCTGTAAACCCAACGATATATTCATTATAAAGCTGATATGTGAACTGTGTTAGCAAGCAGCCTGTTTACATTTCCAGCTGGCACCAAGCAATATTAGCAATATTTTGGCTCAGGTTTGGTCTCCACTAACTCATGAGAAAACCTTCAAAACATGAGAGTACTTTCGGTTTATAAGAGCTTTTTCATTGCTACTTGCTGCTGCAGGAAACAAGGTTGAGAGCGGTGAGACTCAAAACAGTAAAATTGCGGACTGTAAAACCAAAACAAAAGCTAAATGATGCTAAAATGCTGAGTATATCAGAATTGGCGATAATTCTCTGTGGGCTCATTAGTATGATCTATACACATTACATACAGTCATTTGAGCCAGTGTTATTACAAAAGTACTAATTAATGCAGCTTTATATTTTTATATATTATTTTCTGACTCACTTATGATGATAAACCTCCAGAGAATTTACGGTTTCACTCTCACCTCTCTCAAAGTGTTTTTCAGCCACAGCAGGCAGCTGTTTCTAGACAAAAAGCTGTAAAACACACTGTACATTACCTGCCCAGCACCAAACAGCAGACAGATACAGTCAGCAATGAGCATAGCAGCTAAAGACCCAGATATTTCCCTCAGGAATTGGAGAGGTAAAAGAGAGCAATTAAACAACAGAAAAATGTATTTATTGCAGGTTTGATGTTTTCAGTAGATTTTGGTAATCATGTTCTGTGGTCTTGACAGTTTGTCTTTTCAAACACTTGAGTTGGTAGGTGCCAAATTAGATACATCAGCTCCATGTAGTAAGAAAGTGAATTCTGCACTCCCTGATCTCCACAGAAGGGGGCACTCCTCTCACACATGAGTTGAGTTGCTATGCTGATACCCTCCCTCTGTCTTCTCTCAGCTGGAGTGGGCAGTCCTGCAGAGGTTTATGGGTATCTACAGAGTCTGTGGGGTTTCCTGAAGAGGAACAGTGGCCAGCTGATGGAGGTCACTCACCTCTGCTGCTGGGTCAGCCTGCTGTTTGGAGAACAGGACGACGACATGATGGAGGCAGCCAAAGCTTTGCTCTCTGTGTTCCTCCATCACAGGTACAACAGACACACAGTCAGCAACATGATGCTCAATCCAGGGGTTAGCTTTATATTTGACTTACTCCTGGTTGGCTTAGGGTACAATGGGAAATGCCTTGTTGTCCCCTCAACTAGGAGCTCATAGGCTCAGTTGTTTTACCAAAAACGTTGTGTTCTGAAGAAAGTTTTCATTTACTGTTTAATTAATCATACATGATATTCTGAAGTCTTTAGTCTTTAAATCTTTAGTGAACAATTTGGTGGAAAAACTATTTGTGATATTAGCAGGTTCCATGTTTTCCTGAACAGTCTGTCTCTCTGTGCAGAGTCTGCTCTGGGTTAGATGACTTCGCTGTGCTGGAGGCAGCCTGCGCCTCCGGCTGCAACCCTCACTGCCACTTCCTGCTTCTTCTTCAGAGCATCTCCTTCGACCACAGCATCCTCCTCGACTTCCTCATCTCCACTGAAACCTGCTTTCTGGAGTACTTTGTGCGTTACCTCAAGTGCCTCAGAGCTGACTGGCGGGGCTTCACCGCTGCATGTGGAAGAATCTGCGTGTCAGACTGTCATCTTTCGCTCACTTCCTCACGTGGCATTGATTTGTTTGCAACAACATATAAAGGTGGGTCAGAGCGAGTTTGGTTCAAGCCCACAGGTGTTATTTCACCAGTGGGCTCAATTTCTGGGCTCCGCCTCGTAGAATACGGTAGTTCTGACGAGTCTGATCCAGAGACCATGGATTCTCAGGACGAAGCAGGGACCTCTGTATGTGAGAAAAGTAGATCTGGTGCCTTGGATGTGAAACAGGAGATCAGTGGACCACCAGTACCTATTAGACAGAAACATTACGAGCCCTCTCACTCAACAGGATTACTCCATGAGGACCGAGGACCAGAAGGGTCATCACCACTGGTGTTACACAATGAGCAGGCACTATGTCTGAACACGCCGCCTCCATCAGGACAGGTGAACTGTGAGACATCAGCCAGAGCAGTCCTCTGTCTGTCAGAGCTCAGGGAGGTTGTGACAAGGCTGCAGACGAAGAAACTCTTCCCATACAACCCTTCGTCACTCTTGAAGCTCTTAGCACAAATACAGCAATCGCATCTGTCACAGTTCTATGAATGAATCTAATCTCTAATGAATAAAAGGACATTTAATGTGTGTTTTGTTTTGTTTTATGAGGTGACGCAGCAGCCATGGGTTCGACTCCATCCTTCGTTCCTCTGCTGCGTGTTATCCTCTCTCTATCCCCCATTTCCTTCCACTCTTCAGCTGTCATTATCCATTAAAATCAATAAAAGCCAAAAATATTATATATATAAATATGTGTCTGTTAGTCCTAAATCCTCCTGAATTTCCTCCCTTCCACCCGGTGCCTGCTGGGACAGGCATGTGGGTAAAGACCGAACGCCCCCAGGAAGAGCACCGGGCTTTGAAGCCAATTTGACATAGTGTAATGACAGCAATGGTGTCAGAAGAAAGAAAGAGAAAAATAGCACGTTTTTAGCACAACCTTTATATTTGAAAGTTTTTGAAAGTGTTTCTGTGGTTGTGTTTCATACTAACGGAAACTTCCCAGGTACCTTTTCATGTGGCTGACATATTAATCATTAGTTTGAAGTGTCATCAGCATGCTTTATTGATTTAGCTTAATGCACCAGTACACTGTTTGCTCTGTCAGTAGACACACACACACACACCCTCCTGTGATGGAGCTGACTGTAAGCCAGCATACTGTTCTGTTTATATGCACCATTTTGAGAATAGTCAGCCTATTGAGAATGATAATATCAGTGTAAATGCTTTCAGCCTGGTTAAATCACAGATATTAATCTAAAAAGGCAATGAAAGAGACTATGGTGCTTAAAGTGGTTGAACTGTCAGTTGAGGGATCTGCAGGATCAGTTGAAGTGTAAGTTGAACTTTGGCAGATACTTTCATCAGTTCTAAATAAAACATATTTGTAATTAGGGTGTTTCTACTACTTTTACCAGTGCTAATATGCAGTACTTTTCTGTACAAGTCAATTAGTTGAATTGAAGTCAACATAATTGCCCAGTTGCCTCTAATGTCCCTCGACATTAGTGGGAGAACCTGCTTTTGTACTTACTGTATCAGGAACACAGTACAAACAAGGTTATCATATCCCTTGAGGGCAAAGCTTGTGTGTGTGTGTGTATGTGTTGTGGCAATCCGCTAACCTACCTCTACTTCCTGGAGGGGAGGGAAAAAAAGAAACGTTCCCAGGTAATTGTGGCTGTGCTGGGTGTGACCCTAAAGAATGTCAAACAAAGAGAGTGGCTGGCTGCCTGTCGTAGCGGAGAGATAGAGGATTTTGCCATCCCTGTTAATTTCCCACAGTAAACACAGCAGCCAGGGTGGAAACAACCTGCTCTATCTGGTGGCACTGACAGTGGAAAGGTAAGCCTGTGTTTTCCTGTGACCTTGGGGTGTGATTGTTTTTTAGCTTGAATGTGAGTGACAATAGTTTTTTCTCCCTATTCTGGTGTGAATGTGTATCCTGTGCTGAAGTTAGAGGTCCAAGGCCGCCTGCAGCCACAGGTTGGGAGCTGTTTGATCAGAAGAGATCCTGCAGTTCAGAGAAGTTTGCTCTCAGGCTCTGCAAGCTTTGTCACGGCTGAGTTGGGATGAATGACATCTCTGTTCTCAGAGAGATCAACACAAAGATCCTGTGAGATCCAGGTTGTGTGGTCTGCCCGCTTGAAATCAAAAGATTCAAAGTTAAGATTAGTTGTGGAGGTTTAAGATGTTTTAGCTGTTTTTTATCTCCGTTTGACAGCTTCAAGGACCTCTATTGCTAGGTAATCTTTGTAGGGCCGGCACCTATGTAAAGGTGGAATAACAAGTACTTTGACTGGAGGCACATCTTGTTTAATGTTGCTGGAAGTGCTGAACAAAGAGCAGCTAACGGACAAGTCAAGAACGGTATTTTTACTGTGTATTTGTAAAGCCTGAGGTCATGAAAAACAGCTCTGAGCTTTGTTTATTAGATACAGAGAGTTTATTCTTCTTCACTGGTACTTTAATATTTTCAAAGTGACACTTTCAGCTTTTGTCCTTCATTCCAGAGAAATAACAAAAAAATAAAAGTGATAAACGTAATAGGCATTTAGAAAGAAAGAAAAGTAGTGGTTGGTGCCAGTTTATATGGATATAGGAAATATTGATTGGTTAGAAGAAGTAATTTCAGGGCTCTTTTGATCCAGACAACAAATTGAAAAAATTGTCAAAAAGAACCTGTATCCGTAAAAATCCAATGGTATACGAGTTTATCAATCAGTATCATGTCATATCAAATCATATAATAAAAAGATAAAATAAAATATGTCAAAGATCCAGTCTGTAATCTTCTGTGTCACATACAAATGTATCCCCACCGTGGATAGTACCGTATTTTTGTACATTTATTCCAGTGAGAGAATTCCAAATTTTGGACCGTGGGTTGATGCTTATACTGTGTTCTGGTAACAAAAATAAAATCCCTCCATCAGGATGAGCTACAGCTGAAAAGGACGGGCCCCCCAGGAGACTAGGGAGGCCTCTGTTTGGGTCTAGTGAGATTGTCTTTGCAGTGAAACAACCAGGATCACAGGCAATCACTCCCCAACTGCAACAAGCTAACACTGATGCACTAATGTGGTGGGGAGTAACATATCAGTGCTAGGACAGGCTAGTTCTGGATAAACTGTTATACAGTAACAGCAAAGCAACAATGAGAGATTGTATTGAGCTACAGAAGCTACTGGGACAGAGGTGAGATCAGAGGTGATATCAGGACTCTCCAGGTGTATTTACACATATTTTACTGGCCAGCACATTGCACCGGCCATCAGCAGCAACCTCCCCCCAAAGACGTTTTGTAGCCACACTGTTTCCGCCTTTGCTTTTGAGGGAGGACAGTTATTATTCACGTAAGCACAAGAGGTTACCTGTCACACACAAAACACACATTTTGGTAGTTTTTGAGCATGAATAAACAAATGCACGTCTACATCCACCTGGCCCTCCCTGCTGTTTGACTGAGTGGCTGTATTCAAAGAAGTACTGCAGGGGAATACTAACAGTCTGCTGTGTGTGCGTGTGTGTGTGGGGGGAGGACTCAACAACTTGGCTTCCACTGTAGGTTGATAGACCACTGAATAGACTTCTTGTCAAGCTGAGCTAGCCCAGTGCCTCTATATATACCACCCAACAGAACACACACAAACACCACTCACACACACATACAGACACACACACACACACACACTCACACTATTTATTGTCTCCATTATTAACTGCTTTGTACTGTGATGTGTTGGGAGGTTGCAACCCAAGCTTTCATTGTCAGCGTTTTTGCTTTCTCTCTCTCTTTCTATCCTTTTCTCTTTTTCTCCGTGTGTGAGAGAGCCGGGGCTGTTGAAATGGGAGTGGAAGTGCTCTCAAGAGTAAGGGAGGGATCACTGGGTAAATATTTGTTTAGGAAACAGACCTTTATGTACATTACAGTAACTGTAGCATCTGCAACTGCAGTCTGCTTGTTGTAACCTCTTTCTGGAGCCCTTACCTCCATATCTGTCATCAGAAATAACTCAAACCTTTGCACTTTTGTCATTGCTTGGTGTGTTGTAATAATTTATAATCAACTGAACGTTATATTAAAATGGATAGTTAATGTGCAAGTCACACTGTTTGACAGAGAAAAACAACCCGAGCCAAGGGGAGAACAATGGTTGTATGAAATGGTCCAAACATGGAAGCATTTACATTGTAGTGAAAGCTGCTCAGCCAGGACATACTCCAAAGGTTTCTCCTGCTTCCTATTCATGTCATCTTTGGCATCAGGGTCACATATTTTACTTCTGCCATGCTTCTGGAACTTTAAAGCCCTTCTTCAGTCAAAAAATAGTGTTTCGTCTTGTTCCTACAGTGTGATATTTAAATGATGTACACTACAGTATGTGTAGAGTTTGACACTAGAAGGATGTTTTCCCTTGTGCTCTGTCCTCCAATAACAGCTGAGCAAGCCCTGTGCTGTGCCCATGTTCTACGATCATCTACGTTGAACTAACAATCACATTTTAAAGATTTTAAAGACACATATATAGGTCTATATATTCATACAAGTTAGCTAGCTAATGTTAGTAAAATACTAACTAACTAACTAGCCAACACATTTTCATCATCCTCCGTTACTTAGCTAATGTTAGCTAACTTAAGATGTGACTATATAGTATATTTTGCTTTTGTCTTTTAAAGGTCCAGTGCAGTTCAGTGTAACATTTAGGAGGATGTATTGTCACAAATTGAATATAATAATAATGTTTTTATTAGTATATAAGACACCATGTAGAATTTGTTGTGTCGTCTTCCATGGAGTCCACCATGTTGAACTGCCATATTTCTACAGTAGCCTAGAATGGACAAATCAAACACTGGCTGTAGCCTTTTATTTCAAGTAGTTTCATTCCCAGGTCGTCAAATACAGACGCCAGTTTGTTTAATTTAGTTTCAATCTGAAACTTCACTGCTAGATTCCACTAAATCCTACACACTGGTCCTTTAACCATCTTCAAAATGTGGTTGTCTTTTCAACATGGAGAGCTTTGCACATAGCATATCTAAGTACAGGAAAGAAAAGTTGACTGAGGTTCTGACAGAGGCTTACTTAACTGTTATTGGAGCACAGAGCAAAAAGGGGCGGGAGTTAGGAAGGGTCAATTGTGGATTGTGAATAGTAACTACAGTGTCTACTGGTAGCCTAGTTACTATACACTAACTTGCCCCTCCTTGTGTTTGTGCGCCCTGGTGGCTCTGTTAGGGTGGAGGGATGTTCGACACGCTGTATCAGTGGTTCTGGTGGGACAAAATCTGGCTGCCTGCGAATCTGACGTGGGCTGACCTGGAGGACAGGGATGGCCGGGTCTATGCCAAAGCCTCACATCTCTACGTCACTGTCCCCTACGCCTTCGCCTTCCTATTCATCAGATACCTTTTTGAAAGGTAAGATCCACACTCTGTGCACCTACTCTCCCATATAGTTATACTGTAGCAACAGAGCATCTGCTTATGACCTACATAAGCAATAAAAGACCATCAAAGAGAAGATTGGCTATCACTATAAAATTATTTTTAATTCTTAATTTGGTCAGATTCCCCTCGAAATTAATGAACAAGGTGGTGGAAACAGTGTCCACACTGTCCAAACTTTTGTCCACAGGGGCCGTCACACATGAACACAAAATGAAAGTTCCTTGTTGCTGCTTTTATCTTAGGGAAAAATAGTCTTAGTTAGATATTTCAACTCAAGAATGAGGCAGGACATGTTTAGTTTTTCAATATTTAACCAAAACCACCATTTATCACCTACAGTTCAAGTAAGACTATGTAACCGATTGCTAAACAGCATCCACTGTGACTACAAGTGACAATTACACAAGTGCTAAAACTTTCACAACTCCAGTTTGCCTGTTTGATCTGCCTGCCTTTTGACCCTTGCCTGTTTTTGACGACAGTAAACATGAACTTTTATCTTAACCTGCCTGTCTGTCTGTCGTGCTCCTGGATTCAAGCCTGTCATTCTCTCAACCATTAAAAAAAAATCTCAGTAATGTCATTGTATTCATCAGTACTTTGATCAGTTGAATTAGTTCTCAATTGACTTATATGATTAAATGGGTATGGTAAAATAATATGAAATTAAAAAGTACTGTAAAGTTCCAAAGCAAGGCAAAGCAATAGATTTTCTCCAAAACGTATTTGGGAAAGCAAATGAGTGTATAAATGTATTTTTATTATATATATTATATATGCTACTTAAATTAATATGCCTTCTTCGAATTACCGCTATGTAGCCAATACTTTACATTTTTGAATGCAGGCAATGATTCGCATTAATTTCTGTATGGTATGAAAATAGTTTAGCAGAGTAATTAATGGATTACTTGATTATGTAATCCATTACAGCAAACGTCAAGTCAAACTACTACTACTACTACCATTATTAACAATAGCAATAATAATAGAAATAGTAGCAAATAAATAAGGTATATTCTATTTATTTATTATTTGTTATATGTCAATAAACCATCAATTAAACTACACCTTATCCATCATGTACTGTTTGCCCTCTGCTGACATTGTTAGAATTTAACCCTCTGTGTGTTTACTGTGCTCCAGGTGGATAGCAACACCACTCGCAGTCTCTGCTGGGATCCAGCAGAGAGTCCATCTTAAAGCAGAGGACAACCCCATCCTGGAAGCCTACTACACTACTCACTATAGAAATCCTGCTCAGGTAAACAAAGTCCCACTCAAAAAAGCAGCGACTGATGTTTAAATATCAACAGCCCACTGTTTAAAAGAAGCTCACAAGAATAGGAAACTGCACTGTGTACATCTCAGCACTGGATATATGGAAGCAGTGTGGACCAGTTGTCCAACGCAGTGTTTTTGGGTTTTACTTCTTAGTAAGTGGTTAAGATAACAGCATTTAACTGTTTTTGAGCATTCATGCTTCCTGTGCTATTGGACTCATTGTGATATAGCAATGCTCTAATAACATTTAACAGTTCAGTTAACAGTTAACAGGTCCGGTGTGTAACATTTAGTAGGGTCTATTGTCAGAAATGGAATATAATATTCATAGGTATGTTTTCATTAGTGTATAATCATCTGAAAACAGGAATTGTTGTGGTTTTGAGCTGTTTATACTTCCTCTTCTACGGAGGCCGCCATGTTGAACCATCTGTTTCCACAGTAGCCCAGAATGTACAAACCAATCACTGGCTCTAGACAGGGCCATTTTTCACAAGTTTCGCAGACACTAATGTTTGTCTTACTTTCTTTGAATGGGAGGCTGAGGCGAGGTTGTTATAATCTGCAACTACACTGCTAGATGCCACTGAAGCCTACACACTGGTCCTTTAAAACCTATACTTTTTAAGGAACTTATTGGCCTGAGGGTGCTGGCGCATGCCTGGTTTCACTCATATCTGAGTTTTAAGATTAAATGTGGTGTCCCACAGGAAACAATACTCAGCCCACTTTTGTTTTGTGGCTTTTTAATAACTTTCCTGGCTTTTAAATTCATTCTTCATTGTGACATGTGCAAACAACTACCTGAAAACTGAATGTCAAGAAGGCCAAATTGTTTCTTGTTGATTCAGCCAGACATAGAACAGTTTTCAAAATTTACCTTGATGGCTGGACAATTTCTCAGAGCCACAAATATGGGAAATTGGTAATCATTTTCCATTTGTATCTAAGCTATGAGCTGCATATTAGTGTAACAAATGTCTTTTTAATTTATGATACATAGTTTAGATCTGCCATTTTATCTAATACAGATGCTGAAATCCTTGTGCTTTATAACATAGCTCCTGTCCTTCCTGTACATCTCCAGTCTTATCACGGAGCGTAATCCATTATGTCCACATCATAGCAAAAAATCAGTGTCCTTGTTTCATTAATTGATCTATAAACCTTACTGCTGACCGCATTCATTGATTTAGAACCTTTATTTTGTTGTTCACTTCCTTCCAGGCAGATATCGACGGGCTGTCTAAGAAATGCAGTTTGTCTGTGAGACAAGTTCAGCGCTGGTTCAGAAGAAGACGCAGTCAGGACCGTCCTGGAGTCCTGAAGAAGTTCAGAGAGGCCAGGTCACTACTGTGTGTGTGTGTGTGTGTGTGTGTGTGTTTGTTTCTATGTGTGTGTGATGATAATGCAATACTCCCAATAGCCACAATCTAAACATATCTCTCTTCTGCCCCCTACAGTTGGAGGTTTGTCTTCTACCTGTCGGCATTCATCGGAGGAATAATAGCATTGTACGATGTGAGTGACTGTCCAATTCGCCCAGAACATTTTACTGAAGGAATGATTTTACTGTAAAAAACAACTTGAGACAGCTGTGGTTACATTATAAAGTCACTGGCTGCCTTGTGGGCGTGGCTCTATAGCTTTGATAAAGCTTTACTCTTCTATATTTCCAATATCATACAAGAATGTAATTTCTCTCCATATTTTTGCAGAAAGAATGGTTTTATGACACCCGGCAAGTATGGACAGGTTTTCCACGTCAGGTATGTATGCTTCTCTTACACACCATTATCATCATATTAACTCGATTAAATCTAATTAAATATAATTCTTGTTTTGACACTGATATCCGTGTTTCTTTCACTTGTGTCTTTTCCTTGCATCTTACTCCCTCCTACTGACAACACAAGGAGAGAGAAATCAAAGATACACATTTTTAGAGAAATTAGTCATGTTTTCCACTAAACCTTCATCTGAAGCAACGTCAGTTTCTGATGACGGTAGCACAGCTGGATCAGTTGTTTATGTTCTGTAGCAACTTTTTCGTATTTGCCCATGTAGGCACTATCCAAACATAAATAAGGGCACACAGTTACCACTGTCAGCACAGCAGTGTTTTGTCTCTCTGTGCTGCCCTTTAAAATAAAGGGTTTGACTAACATCTGCGCATTTAGTATATATCTGCATTCTGTGATAAATTGCATTAAAGGTCAATATATAAACAAGTGGAACAACATCAGAAGAGGCTTTATATTCAAACCTACAATAAATTAAATTTCTATAGATGCAACTTTACAGCCTTCTGCATGTAACTGATTATCAATTATTAACTGCCTTCCTTCAAAATGGTTGATAGTAAATAAAAGGTCTACAGACACCACAGAGGGTGCAACAATCATTTATAAGTCACAGACACTTCTTATAGAATCAATAGTAGAATAAAACTTCACCAAATCAGACAACTCAGAAATGTGTAAAAAATATAAACTCCACAGACTGCAACCCACAAACACACATGTTAAAGCAAAAGAGAAAATGCACAGTTTTCACACACCATAGCACACACAAACACAAAACACAAAACACTACGCAGCTAGGCAACAGTGGTTATTGGTGGTATTACTTGGAGAGTGAGTTACAACAATCAGTGAGTTTGCTGTAGTACTCACCTCACCTGAACAGCATTCTATAATCTTTGTGCACTGCAGATTCCTCCTCTATAGGCTCAGCTTATTGCTCCCTCATTCTCAAAGTATAATATAACCAGTCCACCCAGCTTCTGTCCCACTATAACCAGCCTGAGTGTAAATGGGTGTGGCAGTAGCTCAACTCTGTGGGGACTTGGCCTTGGAACTGAAGAGTGGCTGGTTAAAATCCAACACAGACCACAGTACAGACAGTGGATAGCTAGCTGGAGTTTTGCCAGTTCACCTCCTGGGCAATGCTGAGGTGCCCTTGACCAAACTCCTAACTCCTCTGGGAACCACTATGTTGTGTCCTGGTAATTTCACTATGGTGGACACAAATGTACCTCTTATGTGTACCAATATAAACTTGGTGTTACCAAACAACAGAGATGGTCTTCTCACTTTAAGTGAAAGTGAAGTAAAACTTAGGTCTTTATTTAAAAAATACAACTTTGTTCTAGTTTTCATGGGTGGAAGGAATATAAATCTGGCTTATGGACTGGTTTCAGTTAAAAGGACAAACACTATGATGTCATTCTCCTAAACACATTGTGATGGGTATATCCCATGGATTCATTATCAGCCTGTACTTGCCTTTGAAAAAAGAGTTGAGTGGGAGATCACGTCTTAGAGTGAACAATGGATTCATCTAAAGTTCCTTCCTTCCAGCTAAATGGGTTCGGACAAAGAGCACAGCTTTCAGGGACAAATCTTTTGTCTGTGTGTCTGAGATTCACTGTAGCTTCATGTTACATGTTGTCCATCTCTTTCTTACTCTGACTCTGTTTCTGTGTGTCTCTCTCTGTCTGCAGTCCATGCTGGAGTCTCAGTACTGGTATTATGTCTTGGAGATGAGCTTCTATGGCTCTCTTCTCTTCAGCGTTGCGTTTGATGTCAAAAGAAAGGTGAGTAGTAGTTTTTAGAGGCCAGAATTTCAGCTTGGATCAATCACTACTGATGTATAAATCCCCTGCACTGCATTTTCTAGAGAGAGAGAGAGAGAGAGAGAGCATGCATAAGAGAGGGAGTGGGCAAATGGCCATGCATACAAACTAAACAAACCAAGACTGAGACTTTATTTTATTGGGTTTTGAATTTCGTACTTGTTACTACTAAAGATCCATGATTTGTCAAGGGGCATATTCAGGGGCAACGGCCCGCAATGCAAAAAAGCTTGGGAACCCATGCTATGGAGGACCCTGTATCCTATCATAACGTGGACAATATTGGCCAGACCATGTCACTAGTGGGGCTTAAGCATGGCAATTTCAGTTGGTCCATTGAACAGGTCCGAAGCAAGTTGTCTCCACAACTACTGGATGTTAATGGTCTCCAGAGGGTGAACCGTGATTAATGTGTGTCTAACACTAGTGCCACCATCAGGACAAAGTTTCCATGTACACACAAGAAATATCACTTTGTAACCTAATTTGTAGTTTTGTATGACATTTGCTGAAAACAGTCAAGCTTTTTTAAATTTCAGTTATTCCCAAGTGGGAACCTATCTTAGTTACCCATTGGTTTGTGGAGAACTGTTTTGAAGCCTCAGGTTTGGCATTATGGTCGTCACCATGACAGTTTGTTAGAGCCAGTGGAGGTGACATACTGTGAGTTGAGCTGTGCAGTTTTGACTTGTCTGTAGCAGAAACAATGGCGGCTCGCCTGATCACACATGATTTCATATTACAGATAAACAGTACACTAAAATATGTTTCTGATATGATTTTAAGTGAGAAATAGTAAACACAGAAACATAATCTGGATCCATATCTGATCAGCACTGCCTAGTTTGACAGTTTGATCTGAGTTTGGTGCGTTGAGCTGGACGGATTCACT